TTATTATTATTATTATTATTATTATTATTATTATTATTATTATTATTATTATTATTATTATTATTATTATTATTATTATTATTATTATTATTATTTACTTCTGAATACAAACAGAGCACTATCACTGGAGAGCAATAGCTAAATTCATATTTGCATTGAAGAGATAGAACACCCCCAATCCCATGTTGGAGGAGCATGTTCAGATAATATTTTTTATAATACCCCAATCAGTTTGATGTAATGTTTAAAGGCACTGGGGAACTGGGAGACTGTGAGTTCTAGTCCCATCTTGGGCAGCTGGGTAACCTTGGGCCAATCACTCTCCCTCAACACTAAGAAGCAGGCAAGGGCAAACCATTCCTGGGGAGAGGAGGGAAACCTGGCCAAGTAAATTTCAGGGATTTGTTCAGGCAGTCTCCAAGAATTGGGCACAACTGAGCAGAAAGGGGAAAAAAAAGTTAATTACAGGTATTTCTTGGCTTATGACCACAATTGAGCTCAAAATTGATGTTGCTAAGTGAGACATTTGTTAAGTGAGTTTTCCCCATTTTACAACTTTTCTTGCCACAGTTGTTAAGTATTTTCATCGTTGCTAAGTTAATAACATGGTTGTTAAGTGAATCTGGCTTCCCCTCCCCTCCCATTGACCTTGCTTGTCAGAAGGTCACAAAAGGAGATGACCTGATCCTGGGACACTGCAGTCATCATGAATATGAACCAGTTGCCAAGCATCCAAATTTTGATCATGTCACCATGGAGATGCTGCAATGGTTGTAAGTGTGAAAAACGGTCATAAATCACTTTTTTTCAGCACCGTAACTTTGAACGGTCACTAAACGAATGGTTGTAAATCGAGGACTACTTGTACTTGGCTCCTCCATTGCTACGTTCTCCTTACCAGCTCCCTTTCTTGAGCACTATATAAAGAACCAGGATAGTGGAAGTTTTCAGTCATACAGCTTCAAGACAAAACCTGAAGAACCCACAGCTGACATGTCTGTTTAGTTCAGGTTCTCTGTGCAAGAGGGATGCGGGGCATGGGGATTCTCTTTGGGCGAAATAATCTCCTAAAAAATTGCACCACCATTTCTACAGTGAAGGCAGCCCCGATTCCTCCAGAAGTAGCCCCCCCCGCTTTGGGTAAACGAGTCACTGCGATGGCCGGAAAATCCCCCAGGTGCTACTCTGGTTGCCGTGAAAGAACTCACCACATCCTGCCCAACTGCTTGTCTGTATTATGTGTTTAACTATTATCTTTCGTGACGGTATCTCTTAGGACCAGACCATCTTTTTGTGGTTGGTGGTACTTCTGAGGACTTTGAACAGTGTCAGTGTAATGAAGTGTTGTGTTCAGCAGGGCAGGCCTGAAATGTGGGGCCGCTTCCCATTGTCTTGAGGGGCTTAAGGGCTTCTAAAAGGGAAAATAAATAAGGGGGTTAAGCTGGTCAGAGGCAGCAACTTTTAACTGTAAGCTGAATGAACACCTATGTTACTGAACATTAGTTCTTTACTGCCAAATGTCAGGATACTGTAAACACGAGGGTTTTCCTGTGCTGGGTGCAATGCTTTGTCAGACCTGAATTGGCCAGGTGGTAAAGCAATGATTGTACTTTTAGAGTTGTTTTTTTTTTAAGTCTCAGTCCTGAAACTTTGGTGCATTGCATGGAACTGTTTTTAAAAGGGGGAAAAGAATTCACCGGAGTTTTGCTGAGTTGAATAACTTTACACTCTGAAGAGATAAGAACTATGATGGATCCTCACCTTGATTTTCTTCCTTCTGTTTCCCCATCTTCCTGGATATGTTTAGTAAATATCTTTAGCTTTGTGCACAGTCTCGTTTTACACTCACTTCAAGAGGCAGGGAAATACTGAAGGAGACAGTATTTCCTCAGGAAACACTGAGGAGACAAAAAAAATCCATCTCCTGGAAAGCTCTTTTAGATCTCTGAAGCATTCCAGGTATATCCTTGGGCAAAATGAAACAGGAGTCACAATCATATTCTTTCAGACTGTAGTAGGTAGTCCTCGACCTACAACAGTTAATTTAGTGCCCTTTCAAAGTTACAATGGCACTGAAAAAAAGTGAATTATGACCGTTTTTCACAGTTAACGACTGT